GAAGGATGTCGTGTTCCCGCATCCTAGCATCTTCGCAAACAAGGAAATTCCAAAGGAGAGCAAGGGAGAGAGCGAGCCGCCGGTCAATCAAGAAACTGAACAATGCGATAATCCCGAAGGAACCGAAGAGCCGTCGAACGACGCCGATGGAGCTGGGGAGGGCTCTACTTCAGGAGAACCTGAGAACCCAGGAAAAGAAACGGAAGCCCTACAACGAGAAGGAGCGTCTCCGCAGCCTGAAACTGCTCCTGTTCGCGCTCAGAAGCCTAAACGTCGTAAGCAATGGGAACCAAACTTTGATTCACAGCCCGACAATTTTTTTTTGCGTTTATTACAAGATAAAATAGCGTTCCAGGATGAGTTGTACCTGAGTTGGGGTAAACCGAGCGCGTAGAAACCAAATCTGCAATCAGTCTGCTGTGTCAGGTCTTGTTTTTCTGTAATTCCATTTTTCGTTTTTTCCTTAAGTTCTCGTCTATCAAGTCCTCCATTTCCGCTCCTTGGTGGTCTAGATCAGTGGTGGCCAACTGGAGAGAGCTGGCGGACCCCCTGACCGGGTGAGTTGAAGTCGGCAGACCCCCTATTTTTCATGATGCATTTTTTTGAATGCGTAATCGTCGATAAAGCTTGAAAGAATGTGTCCGCGTGAATATCAGCTTAGGATAATGAACGTCACTTTATATTATACACCGGATTTGAACTTCTGAAAGCACACTACATTGTTTGATACATCGTTTCATCGCAGTGGAAGACATACTCGTGATATTTGTGACTTATTTTCTCGTCGACCTGGCAAGAGTTCTCGCATATTCGGCTGCAAGGTGGACCTGCCTAGCCGTAAGGCCGCGTGGATTTCAATACTCGCTCGAAAGCGAGTCTTGATTGCCGTCACTGACGAAAATGTCTTCTCACAAAGATAAGTTGTTGAAAAGGGTAGCAGGATCTTCATTGCGGCGTGGCTTGAAGCTGGATATTCGGCCTTTGCTTCAATCCAGAACTGAGATCTCGAAAACTTCGAAAATTTGATCTCGAGCGTTGGATCCGACGAGAGCTCGATCAGACTCGCTCGTTCGCTGAGACTCAGCTTATTGTCCTTCCTCCCGGTTGCGAAGGGACCAAGGAACCAATGATTACCTCTCCTCGGATCCTCTTTTTCTGGACAGTAGATTCCGAATAACTCCCCGAGGGACTCCATATGTCACCGAAAGACTTCGATGACCTCAGGAGATACAACATTTTCTCCTTGGAAATCATCGAGTGCGGGAAATATCTGAGAATCTCCCTCCATCATGGCGGTTTGCCGGATCGGAAGCTACCTGTAATCCGATCAGGTAGGAAGCCAGGGAGGTTAACGGGATGGTCTCCGGTTGCAGGTTTCGCTATGGAACCTTGTTCGAGTTGCATATGTACTCCGTGATAGCCTCTGGAGATATTCGATTGGATGTTCAGCAAGATCTGGATAAATACCCAAGGGATGCCTCCCGAGCTCTGAGGGCTTCATCGCTTCATTCCGCAAACTCTTGCAACAGCTGAGGCAAAGTGGTCGGGGGCGACTTTCGGTGCCTGGTTCTAGAATGAAGCCGTATCGAAGATGGGTCGGGTCGTACTCTTCGATTTCTTCGGCACATTTTTCTGGTCCGCTCGCGTCCGCATGCTGGCCCTCTTCTCTTTCTATGCGCGTCTTAAGAAGAGGGCGGTGTTTCTTCTCCATTCAAATCGAGCTCGCTGACGCTGTCGATTGTGCTGTCCGCTGCCTTAGCTTCCGAATAGGATCCGATTGAGACATGCCACGGATTGGGAAATTCTTCTGCTCCGTTGGAGTTTTCTCCGCCGAGAGCTTCCCCTCTGCTCGTTCTTACCTCTCGAGCCTCATTTTTGAAGAAATGCAGCATGTTCGTTTGGTGTTTGCGATTCATGTTGAGACGATGAACTAAAGTCTCCACGAGCAGCGCACATGATCGATGGACCCACAAGCATTCAAACCATGAGTACGGATAGGTACTCTCAAGACGACGATCCCGCACGTCGATTCGAGGTGTTTGTCAACAATTCCGGCAAGCGGCAAACGTGCTCCCTCGCCGCGAAACGAGCAGCATCGAGTCACTTCTAGACAGCTCAGATGATCAGCGATCATATGTTCCTTCGGAAATCTGACTTCGAATCTGGCCCGGGGATCCCGACCCGGACCCCCCAAAAACCTCGCCGCGGACCGCAGGGGCCCCCAGTTGGCCGTGCCTGGTCTAGATCAGCGGAGGCCAACTCAGGAAAGCAGGTGGACCCCCTGTTCCCCAAGATCCTCCCGAAGCGCGGAAATTCGATGCATTCGCGAGCATATCGAGAGGAGTTGAGGGAGATCATTAAAGAAGGAAGATACAGGGATGAGCAAATTTTCAATGTCGATGAGACCGCGTTGTTCTGGAAAAAATGTCCATCCAGAACATTTGTTGTGGCGGGAGAAGCATCGTCCAACGGCCACAAAATCCACTAGGACCGTCTGACGCTGCTCCTCGGTGGGAACGCAGCCGGCGACTTTGAGCTGAAACCAATGCTTGTGTTTCGTTCTGAGAATCCAGGAGATCTCAAACATGTTCGGAAGGAAGATTTACCCGTGATTTGGCGCTCCAGCGGGAAAGCGTGGGTCACCAAGATCTTATTCCAGGACTCGTTCCTAAACTATTCCTGAGAGATTGTTAACATCAGTGATGCATGGAATGAAGTCTGCTCGAGGAACATGAGGGTAGTGTGGAAGCACATTCTGCCTCACTGTGCGAATGTAACTGTTGATCTGGATGATCAATATTACCAAGCCAATGGCGACATGCAGGATGCGGTGCGTCGAACGGGCCTCGAAGATATCGAAGCAATCGACATCGATGAATTCGTGACCTCAGGCCGGAGCCACTCGACAACGAGTCCCTCAACACGTTCGCTGTCGACCAGGATCGCGAGCACCTCGAAGAGCCTACGCTCGATGAAGTTCTTACGATAATAAGGATGGCCGACGAGCTCTCGGCCCACATCCAGCGCGTTGACTGCAAGCCCCAACGGGGTCAACTCGCTAGTCATAATTCGAAAGAATCTGTTCGTGCCCATCAAGAGCTAAGCGATCGAATGTCGCAGCAGGATCAGTGATCAAAAATGAAATAAACAGTGCCGATATTGTTGGGGTCTCTTTGTTGGAAACTTGCCCTCTGTAGGACAATGAGTTTCCATGATTTACAGTCTAGAATCTTCTCGAAGTCTATGATAAGGATAATTGCACCAACTTGGTTGCCGAGACTCTGATTATTTATGTTTACTGTCACAACATCATTAATCTCTGTACCATTATGTTTTCTGGAACTAATTTTCCTCTGTACGAGCCTATGGAGCTCTGATGGCATAAAAGCACCTCCGAAATAAACATAAGACACACATTCTTTATGGTTTCGTGAAGCTCTTGGAGTGTACGGACCCGCTGCGGCTGAGCGATTGCCGAATGACGTCGAGCCGTTCTGAGATGCCGAGCTGGGATAATCGATTTCGCGGCGGAGATCGGGAGCCTGAGCGCGGGGAGATAATATACAGAGACGTGACCCTCGAGGAGCCATGATCCCTTGACTTCAAGCAACACCTACGTATATATTGTCATCACCTAACCTTCGACGTGCCTGCAGGATTGCTTGAATGTTCGAGGTTCGGAGTTCCTGTCTGACCGACTGAAGCCACTGCTGTCTTGCGGAGCGCACGTTGCGAATTTGACCTTAGAGATCTGGCGGATGGTTATGAGGCTCCCTCATCATGCACATTTCTCCATCCAGGAAGACCTTGGCGCGTGCTGAGCAACAAATATCGGATCTGAAAACAGCGAATGCAGTTTTGCTAGGTCCAACGTCCGAGCGTTGCAGTCGGCGGTGGGTTCCGACTCGAGGGGCCTCTGGACTAGGCTTCAAGCCTTTTTCTTCCCCTCAAGTGAGACAATGGACAAACCCACGTGCGCCACTTGGAACATCTCAGATATATCTGAGTTCCGTCAGGACTCGTCCTACCTCTGTAGAAGTAGAAATCTGATATCCCCGCTTCTGTTGCCGTTTGGTATCGACCCCCTGTGTCACACCAAACTTTCTTGCCGAACTCGGCTCCGTCTTGTAATGTTAGATAATCTCCGTGACGGTCCATGCCGTGCGTGGAATATCAGCACAGGTTGATAAAGACGCCTGTAAGATCCTTTTTAGTGGACATTTTAATCGGAGATTTTTCAAACCTTTAAGATATCGCTGCTTTGGATTCCAGGTTCAGAACGCTACCTACACGAATGAGGGAGATCCAGAGATTAATTTACAGGTTAATTAAATTAACGGTTTGAAGGTTTTGAACTTGGCGCGCTTCTCCCCGCCGCGCCTCTAATCCGCCGCTGGAACAGCGGAAAAATCATTGTTGTTTTTCGATCGGTTGACCGGGTAGGTTCTTCAACATTGTTCATCCAAACATCATCCCCGAGGTGTTCTACGGAGAATCCGAAACCGTGAGTGCTGTAACCATGTGGAAGAATATTAAGAAGCACTTCACCCGCAACGATGGAATCTTCAAGGAACAGGCTCTCGATATGTGACTTGGCTAAGAGTACAATGAGTCCCAAACTGTTACCGAGACCAGAGTGAACCGCTACCAGAGGACCACGTTCGGCCTCGTCGAGGTTGGATTGGTATTGGACTCACAGGTTCTCATCTCCAAGATGGTGAGTGCTCTTCCGAACTCTTGGTCCTCGTTCAAACAAGCATGGACCACTAGATCCTCAGATTACAAAACCCTGGAGATCCTACTCAGCCTCATCAGGAGCGAGGCCGCCCGACAGAAAAACGAGAGCGGCGACATCAACGATGTAACGGTGCTCATGGCCATAACCAACTTGACCAGATGAAGACGTAGACCTATGAGGCAGCAATACCAACGACAGAATACAAACACACGGAAAATGCAGTCTTACTCCCTCACCACGGAGTTACGCTGTTGGACATGTAATGGAGTGGGATATTCCTCAAGGTATTGTAACAAGAAAAGTCCTGCGCGAAAGACCAAAGGTAAACCGGAGGCAATTTGTTGTCGACTCCGGCAGCTCACATCACGTGCTCAACGATCAGAGCTTTTTCACGAAACTAAACTCCGCGACGACATCTCGAGAAGTCAAGCTTGGCAACAACAGTACCCTTACGGCACAAGGGTATTGTGACGCCTTGCTGACTTTCCGCCGAGGCAACAAGTGCGTGAACATCAAGCTTTGTGACGCTCTCTATGTTCCGAAAATGAATACAAACCTCATCTCTGTTAGCAAATTGACAGAAAATGGTTACAAGGTTTCAATAAACCCCGAGAGGACTCTCATCTCCACCGGTCAGGGTAGAGCGACAGCCGAGTGTGAGGAAGGACTGTACGTCCTCAACATCGACAAAAGTGAGCCCAAATGTCTGCAGACTCTAAGCTATACATAGTACCAAGGCCATGGTAAGCTTGAAAGCCGCTCACGACGCTCTAGCGCACTTGAATAGACGAAAAATCAAGGAAACCCTGGACCGTGAAGGAATCGAGTATGAAGATGACTTCTTCAACTGTGAATCATGTCAACAAGGAAAACAGCATCGAACCACCTACCGAACCAAACCCGCAGACTGCAGGGCGAAAAGACCAGGACACATCCATGGAGATTTGTGCTCACCCGCACAACGTTCGCTGACCGGCTCCAATCACTTCATGTGCCTGACAGACGACTTCAGTCGTTTCAGAAGAGTGTACTTCCTGAAGACGAAGGAACAAGCAGCAGAAGCTATCTGACAACACACTCGATGGTTCCGAAACAAGTTCCAACGTGACATCGACCGGCTACACACGGACAATGGAAGTGAGTTCTTCAATGCTTCTGTCACCGAAATTCTCACTGATATCGGAGCTGATCAGACCGCTTCTAACCCAAGAACTCCGGCTCACAATGGTATGGCAGAACGGAGGAATCGAACACGAATGGAGCAAGAACCATCCTCAAAGATTCCAAACTGCCCAAATCCCTGTGGCCAGAAGCAATGAGCTATAGTGCAAATGTCTTGAATGCCGTGACAATCAACCCACTCACAAATCAATCAGCTTACGAAATTTCCTATGGTAAAAAGCCTTACTTCGAAAGATTCAGACCGTTTGGAACTCCATGCACGTACGTTGACTTGGAACCCACAAGAAAGAAACTTGATCCTCGAGGAATCCCTGGATTTCTTGTGGGACTAGGCACAGAAGTAGCAGGTTACAGAGTCTGGTCACCTGGCAGGAAAGTAGTTAGTAACGACAAAGGATGTCGTATTCCCGAAGAAAAGTCCACTGAACAGTGGCAGTGCGCGTAATGAAGAAAATGGCGGAGCCCATCAAACGTCTCCAGAAAATCCAGAAAGTGTTCCAGCCAGCGAAACAAGTGAACAACCAGTGGAGCAGCCTGGACCAAGCAACTAGCAGGAGCAGAGTGACCAACCGGAAGATATCAACCAGAATCAAGAAACACCGACCGAATCACCGCAGGCGAGTGGTTCACGAGAAAACGAGAGCAACCCTCTCCTTACGCTTCCGACTGGAGACGGTCAAGTTAGTACTCAAAGAAACAACAGGAGAAGACCCAGAAGACAGTACGAACCTAACCCTGAACGTTTAGCTTCATTAAGACCGCGTATCAAACGAAATGATAGGTATGAGGCAAGACATCCCACTAATATTGCCATCGAAAATATTAGCAACTCTAACCAGATAAACGAACCCAATGCGTATGAAGGAGCTATCAATTCTGATGAACGTCAGGAACGGCTTGAAGCCATGGAAGCTGAAATGAACAGCATGAAAACATTGAATGTGTGGACATTGACCACACTCCCACCTTGACGCCGAAGCCCAGGTTGTCGGTGGGTCTTCAAGGCAAAGCGGAACGCTGAGGGTAAAGTCGAAAGATTCAAAGCAAGAATTGTTTTAAAAGGATACCCTCAGCAATCTGGCATCGATTATAAGGGACTCTTCAGTCCCGTGTCACGCTTCGAATCTATCAGACTCGTTCTGAACGTAGCCGCGAAAGAGAAGCTCGAACCCTACCAGTTCGACGTTGCATCTGCTTTCTTATCCGCAGACATTGAAGAAGAATCGTATATGGATCAGCCGGATGGCTTTCAGGATAACACCTCACGAGTGTGCGGGTTGAACAAGGCACTCTATGGGAGTCGTCAAGCCCCCCGTTGCTTTCACTTCAAAATCGAATCCATACTCCTCAGTCTAGGACTCAGACAAACTGTTCATCTGAGCCATGTGTCTTCTATGGCGATGAGAGAGACAGGCTAATCGTGTACTTATACGTCGATGATGCAATCCTGGCTGGACGTACTGAGAAATTTATACTCAAATTCTTAGCCGATTTGAAACAGCATCCCGAAATTACGTATAACCCAATCGATCACCTTCTCGGAATACAAATTCATAGAACAGATGATATGAGCGTAGTAATGCGTCAAGAACGCTACACCCTCGATATTCTCAACCGTTTCGATATGACTAATTGCAAACCCTGTTCTACACCAGCCGATAGGGATATATATTCCCTTGACGAGGCTGATGAACTCAAGGATGTTCCTTACCGAGAACTTATTGGAAGTCTCATGTATTTGCAGTTAGGCACCAGACCAGATATCTCTTCCAAAGTCGGCTTTCTATCGCGCTTCTTAGAACACCCGACAAAGAAGAGATGGTCAGAAGGCATGAGAGTCCTCCGCTACCTACGAGGAACAGCCAACTACGGAATAATCTATAAGAGTTCCGAGTTCAATGGATATCGCTATTTCAGCGATGCAGATTATGCTAGTTGTCCAACGACAAGAAAAAGTGTATCAGGCTCCCTTGTAATGACCGATTCTGGACCAATTGTTGGTATTTCTGCCCATTGGTAAGCATGAACCTCGCAATCACAGTACTCATGATGATGATCATCAAGGAATCGGAGGCTTACTTCGAGTACGATCGAGACTGTGACAAGGCGTGCCAGCTGAGACACCGGAGCTGTGGAATCGAACAAACCGAAAAGGGAGGATCTACATCCTCCTGTTTCGATGCACTGGCTGCGTGAATCTATCATGCATCACCCACAATGGCGTGTATCTCACCCCACCATGTGACAGGTGGGGAAGCCATTTGGGACGCATACAGCGGGTGGATTCATACCACAACGACTCCGACTCCAAGAACCACGCAGATTCCTACATCCTCAACAGCCATGCCGACAACGGTGACTCCAACCATTCCACCGAGCACCAAAAGGCCAACTACCACAAGGTCACCGGAGCCGATGGCGGCACCTTCTGGCAGAAATCTCAAATGATGGATTTCTATCACCTTCCTATGCTCAATCATCACTGCGCTAAGCGGCGTGATCTACTTTCTAGTCTTGAAACTGAAACACCTGGGATACCAGGAAATCGAGCTAAGGAACAGAGCATTCAACGAGCTGGAGGATGAGGAACTCTGAAAAATTAAAAACACTAGAGAGTTTCTTTTGGTATCCTTTTATCAAAAGTTTCGCTAATCACTCCGAATAAACGGGCCGGTGGGGGCACAGTTCGGCTGCCCGCCGCTGATTCCATGGGTGCTCCCATGCTCTAGGAGCCAGCCTGACCGTCACGGTCATACTTGCCGGCGGAACTGTGGTCTTAAGGAAGACGCACACTGGCGCTCCGTGAAACAGCAGCCCCTCGACAACTCTTTCTTGTCTCAGTTTTCTCAAATCAACGACAAGCGTCGATACCGTCCGTCGGAGTCCGATCACTAAACCACGCAACAAATTACTAAGATAATTGTTTTTAGCGCGACAGAATGGAGGAAGGCAAAGGGGTCGAAAAACCCACCGAGGCACACCGTCAACACAATGACCATCACGGTCATCACGGCTCCCGCAACGATGCGCTCCCGGGGGATCACACACACCCACAGCGGGACAGCACTCCCAACTCAGCCCGATGAAGTTCGAGCGAGTCTCGTTTCGGCTGCATAGCAAATTGTACCTTCGATCTCTGTAAAGAATGGACCCCCAGAGTAGGAAGAACAGTCTATCGGGGAATGGAGCTAATTTGAGGAACAGTGAACATTCGGTGAAACCTCACGCTCTCGCTCGTTGTGGTTTTTCCGGTCTTCACGGCCTTCACGGTTTTCGTAGCCTTAGCGGCTTTCTTGCTCCTTGAGCCTCTCTCGGATACTTTCGTGGACATCCTCCTCCCCTTGGCCTCGTCGTTTCCCTGACTCAGGAATACAAGATGACAATGGAATCAATTCCCCTTTTATACAAGTTCAGAGGAAATGTGTTGCTTTCTCTCGAGGAAAACAAGTGCCCACCGAGGAGAAACTGGAGCTTATATATGTATTCAAGGTACAGCACTCAGAGTCCCAGACACTTCTTCGAACATTCCGCAGTAAGGGAGAAGATGTTGGGAACTTGCCCTCTGTGGGACAATGACTTTCCATGATTCACTGTCTAGAATCTTCTCGAAGTCTATGATAAGCATAATTGCACCAACTTGGTTGCCAGGACTCTGATTATTTATGTCTACTGTCACAACATCATTAATCTCTGTACCATTATATTTTCTGGAACTAATTTTTCTCTGTACGAGCCTATGGAGCTCTGATGGCATAAAAGCACCTCAGAAATAAACATCAGACACAGATTCTTCCGTGACACGCAAACCCTGCGTCCTCATTCCTGAGAGCATCTTCCCTACGAGACCTCGCCCCTCGGAGATCATCTGAACCCTGTGCCGAACCAACTCTAAACTCTTGGACCGTGGACTCCTACCTACTGAGCACCTTCTCAGTGAGCCAACGCTCAGGATCCTTACGGATTCCCAACACTCTTCCATTCGCTTCCTCATTCACAAGAGCGGGATCCCAAGATCGCTCTCTTCCGGAATCCCACCGTTGGAGACGGCGGGTCCGCGCTAATCGAATCTACAGTGTGTTGATTCCGATAGTTCGACCCTCTGTCTTCAATAGTGCCGACTTGGATTGTGCGGGTACTTGAATAGTTGCGGTCCCGAAATCCGCATTATGCGAGGTATTCCTGTATTCATGTACACAAGTTAGTTCACGGGCTGCAGTAGACCACTACATGCATCCTCAGGTTTTCAAAGGTGAAATTCCGTCGTCGATCGCTCAATATGTGCTTCGAAGTAGAAGAGCTTCTCTCGACGTCTACGAGAGTGATCGGTGCAAACTTGAAGCAAGCCAGCTCAGATGAGTCCAAACCAGGGACTCCGTCAGCACTGTGGTCTCCTTGGGGAACGCTCGAGAGTTCTCTCATGGTGTTGAAGCCGTTTCGAGCCACAATCGCTTCGCACTTGTCTCGGATGCATTTCCCAATATCACCAGGAGCCTGCTTGAGGTCTTGAACAATAGCGTCTAAGATGCTGAGGCACGCGACAAGTGGAGCCGACTGGGCTTCGAGTGTCTCGATGGCTCGAGGGAGGGAATGAGCGCTGATTAAGCAAGATTCTCTTTTACTGAAGCCTTCTTCGGTAGGTTTTGTGCGTCTCTGATGCTTGCAGCTTCATTGGCGTCGAGTGCGTGAACCACTTAAGCAATCCGCTTGAAGTGTTCAGCGTAGAAATTAGCAGCATTCAACCAAGTACCCCACCTCTTAAGGACTGGCTGCGGTGGCAATGGAATCCCAGGGGCCCTTTCGCGAAAGATCGTCACCCTCGAAGCAGACTTCAGGAAGATCTTTTTACCATTGGAGATCAAGCTGTCGACGTCGGGTAAATTCGATCTTAACTCATCCGCGGTGTGATGAGAGCCTTCCTCATCGGTATGCGGAATTGCTGGAGACGGCCGCGCGAAGTCGCTCGGAGAGGATTCCGAGTTTGCTGCGCCGGTCGGACCACGCACCTTGCTGACAGTCGGTGTCGTTGATGATGGTGACGCTGTGCTGATCAAAGGGGGAGCCGTCGTCGTTTTCTCTACCACTGCTGATGTTCCCGAGCGATTGGGAATGGCTGGATCAACCACGAGTGAATTTTGGACGATGATGAGTACGTGTACTTCAACTCCGGAGATCATCGGGAACAACGTCAAGAACAGTGCTGCGACACATGTATTCCGTGGAAGACAGGACTCGCTGTGTCTCCTGTGGGGTATTGGAGGAAAATCGCCAATGGTGAATGGATTCACCTCGCGACGGATCTCTGACACAGGGTCGAGCTCAATGTATTGGAGACATCTTATTGGCTTGGTTGGCTGGACACGACTGAAAATCGGACGCAGAACTCGGTTGTGTATTGACTTTAGAGAGTTAAACAAACTCGTCGTCCCAGAACCCCAACCCTTTCCGAGGATAGAGGATATAGTCGTGAAAGCCGGCAACTGTAATTGGTATTCGACCTTCGACATAAACTCCGCATTCTGGCCGATACTGCTTCAAGGGACGGATAAGGAGAAGACCGCGTTTGTAACACAAAACGTGCATTATCAGTAGCGTTGTTTGCCTTTCGGTCTCAAAACGTCCCCGGCGATCTTCCAGCGAATTTTATCGAGCCTGATACGACGAGCCAAACTGAGCCACTTTTGTGTCAATTGTATTGACGACATACTCGTTTTTTCCAAGAGCTTCGAAGAGCATCTGTAGCATATAGAGATGCTTGTGAGGGCGCTAGCAGATGCAGGTTTCAAGCTGAAATTATCGAAGCGTCACTTTGCGAAGACGACCGTAAAATATTTGGGACACATATTCGAGAGGAACGGCATCAGACCAGCGAAAGGTAACCTGAGAGCTATTCAAGTCTTCCCGAGACCGACAACGAAGAAGAATATCCGTCATTTACTTGGAAAAATTAACTCCTATCACAAGTACATTGAGAACGCAACTCGGCAGCTTGAACCACTCCACAGACTTCTTGGGAAAGGAGTTGAGTTCACCTGGACAGCTGAATGCGAGGAAGCTTTCGTTGAAGTGAAAAAACGTCTGTGCTCAAGCCCGATACTGGGGGTTTACGATCAAGATAAACCCGTTTACATTTTCACAGATGCGAGCGGAAACGGTTCAGGTGCGGTTCTCAAACAACCTCAGGAAGATTGAGAATTACATCCGATTGCGTACTTCTCGAGACGATTGGCACCGACCGAAGCGGAACGGAAGGCTATCCATTTGGAATGCCTTGCCATCAAACAAGCCATAGTGTATTGGCAGCATTGGCTCATCGGTAGAGAGTTCGAAGTATCTACCGACCACAAGCCTCCGGAGACATTGAAGGTGAAAGTCCGCAGAGATGAAGTACTTGCGGATCTGGTCTATGACCTCTCACAATACCAATTTGAAATCAGATGTGCGAGCGGTAAATCGAATGTAGAAGCAGATTCACTTTCGAGGAATTCTGTACTCGAGGGTTTCGATAACGACGATGAGATGATATACTGAGAGTGGTGAATCTGGTTAAGATGCAAGACATCCTGGATGATCAGGAGAACAACCGGGATCTGATGGAGAGCTCAAGAAATACCGAAAAGAAAGACGGTGTCTTCTTCATGGATATGGGGAGAAGACGAAGAATTTTCATCTCAAGAGAAACTGGGCGACGAACTGATCGTACTAGTCCATGAGCGGTATGGTCATGCAGGATCACGCCATTTATTGAGGATCCTGAGACATGCCTGTTACTTCAGAAATGTGGACCGGAGAGTGAGGAGACTTTGCTATCCTTCCGAGATTTGTATCAAGAACAAGACGAGAACGAGACGGAGGATGGGGAAATTGTCCAAATCGGGACCAGCTGTTCATCCTAATGAAACACTCTCGATTGACACTGTTGGAGGCTTCGCTGGTAACAGATCGCCAAAGAGATATATGCATATCATCGCAGATCATTTCTCGCGGAAAGCATCCATCGAAATGACCAAATGTTGAGATCTGCCTTTCCCGTGCGCTTTGACAGTACGCTTAGCTAGACTCCTACGCAGTCTTACTTCCCTTTCCCTTTCTTCAGTACTCGTA